TTCTGCCAATTAATGGGAAACTAAAAACTTTGTTGATATTTTGTCCTTTCATGAATATGAATGATATTTGTCCTTTCATGAATGGTAGCTGCTCTGAAAACATACAGAGAGCTTAATGGTAGCTGAGCAGGAAGAAAAACAGTCACCAATTAAATAGGCAGAATGCCTTGATGACACCTCATTGGATCTTTTAAAATCAAAGATCCTTAGCAAAGCTCACAGTGATATGAAAAGCTCTGAAAAGCAGTCACATAATATAAAATAAATCATTCTCATTATGCATAAACATCTGTTTACAGTAATACTTGTAGAGAGAGAAATATTTAAGATTAATCTCCTTTAAACTCTCAACACTTCAATATCTACAAGATTAGGGATTATTGCTTAAGACAACTAACGAAAGTGAAGACTCAGAATCTACGTTGAGATAGCTCCTCTGCTTTGTAATGCTAAATATTGTTCAAGATTTCCTAAACAGAGATGTTACTCAGAATTCAACACCATGGATGCCAGTTAACCATCCTGCAAATACTGGAATAAAAATTACATTTTGTCACTGGAATTATTCATCCAGAAGCAATTGTTCCACATAGCTTGAGGATATGAGAACAGTTTCCCAGCAGGACTTGACTTTCATTTGAGCTCTCTGGTTGCTACCATATAATAAGCTAATACAGTAGTAATTTTAAAGCGTGTATTTTAATAGCAGTATATTCCCTGTCATCTGCAATGTTAAAGAAGTGTAATTTTGCACTGGTATACACAGAAGGTTTTCATTCTGAACGAGAATGAAGTAACAGTTAATTCCATAAAACTAGTTATATTTTTTAACTTAGTCTGCTGAACTGGCAAAAACTGTTGAAATATAAAGTACTAACTTTGCCCAGAAAGTCTCTCACAATAAGCAGAGTTTAAAAATCGCCTGGTAACATTATTGGTTATATATCATTTTATGGTCACTAGAATTCCATTTTAAAAAAAACCAAACAATTAGTAATCTAACAAATTCTTGCAATGTAGCCGAAGCCATGCCAGACACCATTCCACACAATGTTCAATGCTCAGGCATGCCTGACTTTGTTTCTCCTTGGAACACTATTTACCAATGGCAGCTATCCCAGCCTTCCAGTTCACATACTACGCAAAAACACATTGTTATACATGAAGTAGCTTTTGGGAGGGGAGGGGATGGATGTGGATGGAACTCCATCCACAACACTCCCTGGAAGTGTTCAAGGCCAGGTCAGATGGGGCTTTATGCAACCTGGTGTGGTGGAAGGTTCTCTCTGCCCGTGGCAGCAGGGGTTGGAACTAGATGATCTTTAAGGTCCCTTCCAACCCAAACCATTCAGTGATTCTATGCTGTATTTTGCAATAGTTTTTCTTTTACTAGCTGTCTTACAGAAGTCTGCTATATAATGTGATTTGACAAGGCTGTCCATGTAAAAAAAAAAAAAAAAAAGGTACATCAACTTAGTAAAAGTTAAAATATACTGAAAAAAAATTAAACACACAAAACCCTTAATAGCCTACTTTCAACTTCAGATAGACTATTTTGTTAGGGCAATTTTGTGAATTATTAAATCTGATGTCACTTGTAACTTCAATACTACTATGGAGGTCAAACAGGAGATATAAACCCATATAAAGTATGCAAACAAACTCAATTTCAGTACACCTTAACACTTAGTTCAATGCAGTATGAACGTATGCAGCATATACCAGAAACCTAAAATGTATTTGCTTTTTTTGAGCATTATATTGAATTTAAGATATTAAAATAAAAGACAAAAAGAAAAAGGGATCAAATGTTTCTTTCTGAGGTTGGCAAAGTACAAGATATAGGCTGATATCTGTTCAGTCATGATGATCTCAGCTATCTCTCTTTAATCAGTTGAGTTAAATTATTACACCTTTGTCATCTGATGTCATCTAGTTAACACTGTCAGCAAAAGATTAAATTTTGTTTTTACAGAACTGACCAAAAACATAAAGGTTTGGACTCTTAAATACACTGAAATAAGTATCTCCTTACCTACATAAAGTAGGCAGAACTCAAATTAAAAGGAACTAAATGAAGTCACAGAGCTAAATTTTTACTAAAATGCGGAAGAGTTTCAAAAACCTTCAGAAGTCAACTTGGAGACAAACATTAAAGTGACGACTGTCAAGCACCACCTTACAGCTGCTGTCACATGGATATCATATTATTATGTACCACATTATTAGTAGTCCAAGACTAATCCACTGACTTCACTAAATGGCTTGTAGCTTAGTAATGCAGCATATACGTCAGCTTCAAAATACTTCCCACGTAGAGACACCATACCCAGAGGCTGCAATATAGAACTGACTGAATTAAAACCAGGATTATCTGATCACAAGAAGAAAATCTTTTCTGGTAACATACTGCTGCTAGAAATACAGTTCTTAGATGTTAAGTGCAACCTTATCAAAGTATGATCAAAGGAATAAGGCATTTTAGAGAGAATTTTTGTCTGAGATTTCAGGTTCTGTAATAAAACATGCTTAAATATAGCTCTTCTAATCCATATTCAGAGTACTTCACTATTGAAACATCCCACCTCTGGAGCCTATCAAGTTGAGTACTGTAAGACTATACAGATACAAAACACTGCACATGACGTCAGACTCTATTTTCTTAAATTACTTGTTTGTGCAGTTATACAAAATCATCACATCCTGTTTTGTTACTCTTCTTCTAAGACACCTCAGTTCTCTCAAGAATAATTCCAAAGTGGAAAAACTTTTTGTTGCACATCTGTACCTCTCTATTTTTCACTAGAGCTTCAGCAACACATCTGAGAAAACAAAAGTGATTGTTGAAGAGACTGTGGCTCAGTAACCCAGCAAGAACTTTAATGATGACTTTGAATTGCTTAGGTCTTTTGCTGGATTGAGGAAGTTTCTGCAGCCCAGCTGCAGCAAGCTGACAGTAATAAATTCTCCATACACTGCAAACCAAGCATCTGACTATTTCATGCCTGTTTCGAAGCATGTGAGAGCTGGAGGCAAAGTCTTTCATTTTACAACTCAGTACTTGCTTCTTTCCTTATGTCCTCTAACAAAGGTACTAGTGTAAGGCCAAATGAGAAAAAAAAACTCCCTGGAGATGCCTGCTGTGAAACACGTCACAGCATTTCTGCAAGAAATTTCAAAACAATTGCTTAAGGACAAGTTTTTCCATTAGGAATTATGTTATTTTGAAAGTCAATATTTAGAAAAAAGGCTACAGTACAACAGATGAATTGAATTACTGAATTTTCAATCCAAATGTACAATATTTGAAGTTCAAAATGCTTACCAAAATTTCCCATTTACTGTCTGTAAAGACTAACAAAACTCAATTTTATGTTAGTTTATTGTGGATTTTTTTGGCATGTAAATACAACTATAATGATACAGACAAGTCTGAACTTTTCTTCTTTCCGTACACACACGAAATTTAATAAAATTTTAATAGTTAACATAAGTAAGACCTTCATCCTGACTGCATCACCCGTATCTTGTCTTTGTCATACTCCTTTTCCTGAACTGTTCAAAGTTTATTCCATATAGTCCTATTGGAATAACACTATTCTTAAGCTACTCATAATATTAAAGAAAAGATTGTAGAACTCCTTTTCTACCTATATGTCTTGCTATCATTTAGTTGAGGCATTTAGTTGTGTCTGGCCATTACTGCATAATAATAATCATAGCATGGCAGCATTTCACCTGCACAATAACAACAGAGAATCCAATTCACAGGGAGAACAGCATTAATTGTACAAACCTAAGCAATAGGAGAATTTTCGTGGCAATTACAGATAAGCTTCACAGATTAAAAGAGAAGCTTGGCTCTTAACAATATCAAAAGAAAAATGTATTTACCATCTTGAATGAGAATTTTCTGTGTGGATACTGTAGAACTTAAGAGTTTGTGAACATGGGCTTTGATTAGGAAAAGGATTCTTCCTTGCATACTACTGATAGAATTACCAGAAGTTCACCACTGCCCTAAATAAGGCTTGTTATGGATACCTAAAGAATGATAGATTTAAAAACACATTGAATCATTGGAGACTTGCTTCTTACTACAACAGCTGCAACACTCAGAGTCAGAATTCTAACCCAATGCATGTACTGTTTGTAAATGCACAGAGGGTGTGAATCACATGTTGTATTTACTGCTCTGCTTTTGATTCAAAGTATTTGATACAAAGATGGAAGGAGATGCTACACTTGAATTACCTCAGTATCTTTTTTAATGTAAGTTTAATCCTTCAACATGGCACACAAAAAAACCCACCTGAGATCAGAAATTAATACAGGCACTATTTGGAAATCTGTATTTTTGAAGCACGGGCAGAATTTAGATATTAAGAATAAATATTAAGGTACAATAAAGCTATTGTAACTATGAGACATGCAGGAGTTTTAGGCAGATACTAGCACAGAGTACTGCACTGCAGGAAAAACTTCTGGTGCTTGATTGAAACCATATGACATCAGAAAGACCCCACTGAATTTAAAGTGTTAAACTTTGTATAGCTCTCACAAGTAGCCCAGATCTGCATCAGGAAATCCATTACCAGAAAAAGCAATGTATCCTTATTAAGAATCCTAGGGAGGCTAAAGAAATTTACTTTGATTGTTGAGTGAGAGTTACTGTCTTTGCCTTTAAGAAACAAGGCACAGACTAAAATGACCAAATATTAGTTTCCCATTGTAACGATAAAAATGCTTGAATGGAACTTCATTTGAGCAAGCCTAAAATCAAAATGAAATAATCCCTACAACAGGACTATATTTTGTAAATAGTCACATGCAACACAACTGAAGCATGGCTTTTTCTACTGCAAAGGTACCACCAGACAGTTACAACTATTAACACCAATACTGTAACAGAACCATATTGCATCATGATCATTACATGTGGAAATTAGACCTGGTATACTTCAGAGGTTGACTCCTATTGTAGGGATAAAATTCCTTACCTTGAAAAGACTGTTTGGCTCTGTCCACTAGCTCTTCAATTGAATAACTTGCTAGATCTCCTCTGGCATGCTTCGTTTTGCAGTAGGTACATGCATTGAGACATCTGTTTAGAAAAGGAAAATATTCAGTTTCTAGCCAAGAAAGTGCACACCTGTATTTATTAAGCACACCTGGGAAAATGAGCTTTTATATATATGATCAGACAGTAGCATTCTGTTTTAAAATCAGTCAAGTAGCTTGAGAAGTGTTTTGTCTTCCTACCTTCTTCAAGCATCTTTCACAACTACATATAAAAGGTGGAAAAAACAATCAGTAGAAACCAAATACAAAATTCAAGAGTGGGAATTTATGTATTTTTAGAAAGCTATAATAGGATTAATAATTGTTCATTACTAAATATTAATCTCCAAGTTTCCAATCCTGCTATTACATAAAAAATCCAACTGGTACAAGGAAATATATGAAAAAGTCCTGAAAGATCACAAGTAGATTTTAAAAAATGTTAAACCCAGGTGTGTTCAGATGAAAACACCAACTACAAGACTATGTTTACTACTTGGATATATCTTGTCTTCTGTTGTGATGTCTGGTAGCTCCATAACTAGGTAATTACTAGGTAATTACTGTTTTGCAAACTGTAAAGGTTTTCCTTCACAAAGATCTCCCTCACACTTTAGTTACACCTTGTTTGCACAGGAAGTGCATAAGACTGCACAGAACATTTTCTCAGGTGCTCTCCTACCCCTGAACAACACCTTGACCCTGAGACTTTCTCCACCAACAGAATGTTACTTTCTGCCAGAGGACAGGTAGTTTGTGAAACTCTCTGCTAGACTATGTATATTATTTTTCCTGCCTACTAAACCCAAACATCAGATTTTTCCTCTCATTTTAGATCAGAAAACGAAAAGTTACTGCTTAAGCACAGCAATGAGACTATTCTATTAATAATGTAAGACGCACATGAAATAGGCTGCCACAACCATCTATTAAAAATTTAAAAAAGACCTAAATCTGAACCTTTACAATCTGTTCCCACTCAAAGACAGCTTACTCATCAGATATCAGATAGGTACCTCACCTTTCTTCTGCAAATCAAAAGCCTTTGATTGTGCAAGATCTAAAGGATGTTTAAAAGAACAGAATTTGAAATCAAAAGAGTATAAGCAGATAATTGATTTCTACTTTCTCTGTATAACCTATTTAGCAAACTGTTTTCTAGTAGGTCACTGGCCATCTAAAGTATGCCACAAAGGGCTTTTGCTCACAGCCCAGGCAGTACCTCTCTTCCTACTTCCCATTTGTGACTCTCAAACTCCTTCACTTCTTCCAGGGTTGCAAAATATATCTCTCTTTTTTTCTTCTTTTCCTTTTCTTTCTTTTCTTGTTGTCTTTTGTTTGGTTGGTTGGTTTTATTTGTTTTTAAAGCACAATACTCCATTCAACCCAACACTTCATTTCTAAGCAGGCTCCCAGTCATCCCACTGTCATTCTCTTCACTCCAGTGAGTCTTCAATGCACACCCTACCCTATCCAGTTGGATCCGTTTGGAATTGGCTGTGACTGGCACATTGCAGCCCTGGCCTCTCCTCTCAGCGGCCCCTGCAACCCCCACTGCCCATGCCCCACACACAGGCCAGCAAAGGGCTAAAGAAAATGCTGGGATGGCAAAACATTGCAGGCAAACTCCTCAGTTGTTGTTTGGGTTTGTTTTGGTTTTTAATTTTCATTTCAAGGGAATATAAACCCAGTTTTATAGTGGACCTGTCTGCTCTTTTAAAATCAACACACAAAGGTGTAGTTTACACGTTATATTTGTACTAATATTTTCTCCAAAGAAAATAACATTACTAGCTATTTTGTCAATCTCCGAACATCAAGAAAATATTGATAATAGAACCATTAAATGGTTTGAGTTGGAAAGGACCTTAAAGATCATCCAGTTCCAAGCCCCCTTGGCACTGGACTGGCCCCGAAGGCAGGGGCACTAGACTAGGTTGCTCAAAGCCCCATTTAACCTATCCTTGAACACTTCCAGGGAGGGGGCATCCACAACTTCCCTAGGCAGCCTGTTCCACTGTCTTACTACCTTTGCACTACGAAAATTCTCCCCAATGTCTAAATTAATCCAACTTGCAACAATTCTGATCCATATCGCCAAGGTTATGGTAACACTGACCATTTTTCCCACAAACAAGAATTTTTGTCAGTTACCAGTAACAAAGAGATGCATCAAGATTTTACTTCTTGGGGTGAAATAAATTTATTTAACTCAAATTTAAGCTAGGGTTTGGGAAAGAAAAAACTAAAAACACCACCAAAACCTTTTATTGTTTACTTCAATTTGCACTTACTACAAATTTGGTGTAGAAGTGTGTTTCAACTAAAGTTTATTACCAATCTTCTGGCATCTTGAACTGTAACCTTGCATGAAAATAATGCCTTTTATAGAACTTCTTCAAGATGTGTCACTTCCTCATAAGATTGATCAAAATTATAATTTCAGTAAGTTAATTTTAAAAACCTTCTAATTTTATTCCTGTGTAATAGATCTAAATAATCTAAACATGTATTGATGTGCAGAAAAAGGATTTTTTGTTATTTACAGAGATTTTTTTCCTTATCATAAAAGTACCATGCATTTATAAAAATCAGCATCTTACCTCTTCCTCTCTTCTTGTTATAATTTATGCATAAATCATCTATATTTCTCACTATGCATTTTGTTCTGTACTGTTTGGGTAATAGGATTTCAAAAGCTCTACAGCAAGAGTACTAAATCCTAAGAACAAAGCAATAATACTAAATACTGAAATTATTAATCTTCATAACTTGAGGATAAATTTCTTGTATCCTTAATCAATGTTCCTTTCCCACAAGACCTACTTTCTAGTAAACTAGGTCCTCCTCCATCTTCAGAGTTGTTTTCTGGGCAAATATTCTTCAAATTAAGTTCTAGGTTATCTGAAAAAATACAGCAACAGCAGTTTTTTCCCTGGTACTGGGATAAACTTGGTCATAAAGTGTGTATGAAAACATGCAGCAAAAACCAGGAAGAAAGAATCACAGAATCTTAGGGGTTGGAAGGGACCTCGAAAGATCATCCAGTCCAACCCCCCTGCCAGAGCAGGGTCACCCAGAGCACATCACACAGGAACGTGTCCAGGCAAGTTTGAATGTCTCCAGGGAAGGAGACTCCACAGCCTCTCTGGGCAGCCTGTTTCAGGGCTCTGTCACTCTCACAGGAAAGAAGTTTTTTTCTGATATTCACACGGAATGTCCTAAGCTCCAGTTTGCACCCATAGCCCCTTGCTCTATCACTAGACATCACTGTAAAAAGCCTGGCTCTGTCCTCCTGACACTCGCCCTTAATGTATTTGTAAACACTGATGAGGTCACCCCTCAGTCTCCTCTTCTCCAAGATAAAGAGACCCAGCTCCCTCAGCCTTTCCTCATCAGGGAGATGTTCCACTCCCTTCACCATCTTTGTGGCTCTGTGCTGGACTCTTCCAAGCAGTTCCCTGTCCTTCTGGAACTGAGGGGCCCAGAACTGGACACAATATTCCAGATGCGGCCTCACCAAGGCAGAACAGAGTGGAGGAGAACCTCTCTTGACCTACTAACCACACCTTTTCTAATACACCCAGGATGCCACTGGCTTTCTTGGCCACAAGGGCACATTGCTGGCTCATGAAGTTATTATCCAAATATTCACAGTATTACGTGGGATTGTTTTACAAGCTTTAATACTATACTCTTTACATACAACTTAATGGGGTTTGATTTATTTTGAGCTCGGAGCTGAAAGTTGGGATTTGGAGACAGACTTGATTTTTCAAGTTTTGCGGCACCAATTTACTTATTCCTACTATAAACACAAAATATTTTGGAATGCCTAAATAATTTAGTTGGGGTTGGTGGGGGTTTTGGTACTTTATGAGATTATATAACAAAACCAAAAGAAGACAGACTACAATGTAATATAGAAAAGAATAAATTTCAGAAAGTAAACAAAAAAATAAAAATATGTAAAATTCTATTTGTACCATATCTGTTAATTCAAACTTGGGAAAAAAATCATCTTTTGGGCTACTGTCCTGGTTTGAGCCAGGATGAAGCCAATTTTTCTTTTTACTGATTTTTTTTTTCCCTTCAGTAAGCTTTCTTGTAGCTAGCAACAGTGTGTTCTGCTAGGCTGATAAGACAGTGGAATGTTTTTCTAACTACTGAGGCTTCAAGGCTGCACCTGCACTCTGCCGGCTCAGACACTATGGGGAGATCTGTGACCCCCCCGTAGGAGGCTGAGTTAGACAGACAGCAAAACTGGCCAAAGATATTCCATTCCATATATCTACGTAAGCTCAGAGGAAGGTCAGAGATCACAGAAGACAACTTCCTTCCTTCTTCTTCCCTTCTCTTCCATCCATGGCCGGCGTCCGGGGAGGACTCTGTTCATCCATCACCGTCGACCCTTAGGCTCGAGATCTCCTGACCCCCATAACTCTCTGCTCTTTTCCAGCAGCAGCTCCGGGATTCCTCGGGACTCTTCCCAGTTCAGGGAAGTGCTGTGGGAGTTGCTGAGGGTGGGGGGTGGTGAGAGGCTTTTGCCTACACCTGAATCTATCTGTATATAATTGTATATATTTTCTGGTATGATTCATTAGTGTTTTAATTAAAGCTGTGCAGTTTAGTTTTCAATCC